GACTAGTCAAATGAGACGGTCGTGATGGTGGTGGCAGTGGTCTGTGATGTCTGCCATGACGACTTGAAGTTGCTATAAAGAAACCAAAATCAAATTCAAATCTACATCATCATACTAATAATTTATGCTATTATTATAAATTTGTCTATTATAAGTCTATCTGTTGTATATATATGTGTATATATAATAAGTCTGTTGGTAACACAGACACACTGGACATATTCTGATGAATTTTGGTATGAAAACAGCTTGGACTCTGGAGATGGATATAGGCTACTTTCCTCTCCATACCAAATTTCATAAAAATCTGTTCAGTGGTTAAACCGTGAAAATGTAAGAAACAGACAGACAGAGCTACTTTCGCATTTATATGTAATATTAGTATGGATATTAATTATTAGGGGGAATAAAACATATTTTCCATTTTCCATTTCTGTTGTAACTTCTAAGGAGTATATAAAATACTTCTAGTTCAATGCAATCATATGTAAAGTTATGGGGTCAATTCATCAACTACTTTTCGTTAATCTGTCACTGTTTCGACATGAAAGACTGAAAAACAAACAAACACACTTTCACGTTTGTAATAATACTCCAAAAACATAATTACTGGCATTGTGGGAGGATCTAGCTAGCTGCCGACTGAACTAGAAGGTGTTGTAGGCATCGGACTTACTGGCGAACCAACTCTTGGAGGGGTGCTGGGTACAGCCTGTGCTCTTGGCATGGGGCTTTGAGACACCTGAAACCATGATGTTATAGTAATATGCAATTTCACAAGGATTCTAAAATAAACCTTAAAATGGTTACATACTATGCGTACTTCACTTGGCCGTGAAGACGAATGCGATGTCACAGGAACACATTCAAGTCTGGGTCGCTGTTGGGTCTGAAAATGTAAGACATTGCTGAAAAATCACATATTATATAACTGTCCCAAATCTATTTCACATAAGCACAAAATAACTTTTTGAATTAAAACCTATTCTTTTAAATAGATTTTGTAATTGCATTTAATAACTTTACAAATATATCATACCTCTATTTTAGGAATATCAATAACATCTGCTTCCGTTAATAGAATATATGTTGAAGAATCTTGTTCCCACAGAGTACTTTCTAATATACTGAAATAGATAGGAATCTCAAGCACAAAAATGAATTCTAGAATGTGCTGCCGTCTGGTGGTGTCAGATGGAACAACTTTTTTATCATATAGCTATACCATACACCTAGTATATATAGCTACTATAATTTTCTTTATATTTTTTTTAGTTTTACTTATTGTAAGAAATTTATTTAAGTGTACAATTTCTTACAATAAGTATTATAGATTTTGATGTAAAAATAAAAACTCTTTTCAGAAAGAAAAATGCATTTATTGAATAAAACTTCTTTTTTTTACACTTGGGAAATATTTTTTGGCTTTCATTTGAAATATATCGTCATTATCATCACAGTCTCTTTTCCCACTGAGTATTTTATTTATATTTTTGACATAATTGAATATGAAAAAACGACAAGACAAATTTAATAAGTAATCAATTATTTTATTTTTTGTGTAAATTACACTGCAGAAATTGAAAATCAACATAAATTAATATCAGGTTTTTTATTAATTCTTTAATATCGTCTTTATTTAAATTGTTTTTTAATACTGAATTTGCTATGTCTTGCACTACAGATACACATACTATAAGTGACTCAGTGGGACTGCAGAGCCACCGTTTACCTGCATATTCCCGGAATTTAATGGTTTCATTTTCTTGTAAGGCGATTATGTTAGCAGAACATTCGCTACAGTTTTTAAAATTTAGCACATCTGGCAAAGTATCCACTAACATAATCTAATGCCCACATATGGAGCACTTTTCTTTTCAATATTTATTATTTCTACATCCGGGATTGTTTCAAAGTCACAGGTTGCAGCAGCTTTGCAGTTATTTATGATGATAAGAGACTCTAAAGCCTTACAAGTGTCTTTTACACAATTAGCACCTGGGGCATGGCCACTGGACATATTGTTAATTAAAAGTGCAGTGTAGGCACTCTGAAACTGTTCTGGTGTTGGATTAACATTGCGGTACCCATGGCTTCTAATGGCCGCAAAAAAATTATTTTAAGCATGGGCGTTTTCAGTTTTTATCTGCAACTGTTACATAACCGATATCTAGTTTTCGTATCGTTATTGAAAACCGTTTTCAGATATCGATATCAATAGTTACTGTTTGCTACTGAATGTGCAAACGACAACCGAAACGTAACCGCAAACTGTACTACCAGTGCAACATTTATTTTATGAATTACATTGATTATTCCAGTTTAGAAGTCAGAGGTTCTAATGTTATTGTTATCTTAGATGTAATATTTAAACATGTATGTTAATATATAATATTTGTAAATTCAATGGTATGCAGTAATAAAATATACCGTTACTGTTGCAGCTTATTAAAGTACACTGCTGAGCTCCCCATAGATTGCATCATAGGTGGGATATTTGCCATAGTTGCCACGCTTGGCAAGCGGGATGACAACCACAGTTTTTTGAAGTAAAACTTTTGACGGGAGGGCTTTGATTGAAATGCTGATCAGCAACCTTTTTTTATGACGAAAAGTGGTGGGTGTAAACACTACGTACGTACCGGGCATTCGGTCGATATATATAGTAGTACAATTACAAGATTACAACGGTCTTTTGTTCAAATACTAATCTTATATTAATTTTATTTAAGACAGTTACCAAGGTACACGTATTTATTTTAGTAAAATTGAGCTGAGCGCATTTCAGTAATAGCGCCATCTACTATGTTGTATAGGTAAAGTCATTTTATCGAACAAAAATTGATTGACTTACAAGGTGGTACGTAGAGTAGATGTTAGATGGTATAAACCTAAAAAAAATCTCTTCTTATTATTTAAAAACGTAACCTCGACACTAGGATTTTCTCTTGTATCATGTAGGCAGTTAACATACATAAATTGTACAAGGACAAACATCCAGACCCGGAACAATTATTTGTGAGCTATACAAATACCTGTATCATGCGGGATTTGAACCCGCGGTATTTAGCGTTGTAATTCAAAGTTGCTGTGCCACGGAGACGTCAAATTTTATTATTTAGTTTATTTAAAATAATAATTTTTAAATTTTTATTTAAATATTTTTTGTTGGCATAACACAAAACTGCGATTTAATAAAAATTTAATTATATGAATAATAGACAATTACTTAATTAACAAACTAAGCCGATAATATTTCTTCTTAAGATCGTAGAAGATGATGCGCTGTGACACATATGTATAAATAATTTTATGTAAATAAATTAATGATATACATAATCTACGTTATTCAAAAGTCATTGATGAATAATTTAAATGTTTCCCTGTGATACAAAAGTTTCACTTCTGTTGTATTATGTCTTCGCGACACACACTGTTCATAGTCTTTATTAAGAAAACGTTGCTGCCCATCTCCTGATTTGTTTCCTTATATCGCCTATTACGACACCCACGGGATGATAATGGGTATTCTGTCCTTATTTATTTCTATAATTTTGTTACCCATTTTTTTTTCAAATTGAGACGTAAGATCAGAGTTTGATTTCAAAGTCTATAATTAAAGTGTATTCCTAACAAGTAAACACAATTGAACTATATTTATATAACATTATTTTAGTTAGTTCATTTATTAACAATCATATAAGTTGGTGATTTTCCTTCATGCTTAACTAGACTTAGGATTATCAGAAAAGTTTTAAATTCCAATTTTGAATTCAATTTCAAAATTCAACTCTATTAACCGCAGGTCTGATTTGCACTAGCCGCTGATTTGGCTCCGGTGGAAGAAGTGGTCGGAATTGTCTTTTTTATCGAAGTGAGACCATATTTCACTAGCCTTACGCGACATTTTGAAAGTCTATATTCAAAAATGAATAAAAGTCTAAATTAACTTAAATTATGCTATGCTATATTATATTTTACTTTACATATAATTGTCTGAATTACAACTACCTAATGCACAAAATGCACACAAATATTGCAAATAAATGCACAAACGCAAGTATTGTTGATCGAAGAGCACGAGCCACCAAGACCAAGTGCGTAAGTGTTGCGTTTTAAAAAAAAAGCAAATTCTAAACTTTCCTTCCAAAATATAAAAAAACATAAACGTAAAGTTTAGCCTAAACCAAATATAATATGATCCTTCAAATACAAGTCTTGTGTCTATTGTCCTAAAGATCGTTTAAATTTGAAAACTCTCACTTACACAAACATAAAAATTAGGCAATTTTAACCATTTGAAATTCGAACTTTTTGCTTTAGGTAATTATATTCAGATGTGCATTGTGTACCGTGTGAAACTAAAGCTACCAAAACAGAAATCCTTTCTTTCTATAACATATTAATGATACCGTCGCAAGAACAAGAAACAATGAATATCAACGAAGGACATCGCATCGGTTTAGTTCGTGGGCCGTGTTGGCATATCGTTCCAGTTTTTGCGTTTTACGTTTTACAAATCTAAGCCTTGTGACTAATGAGCTAAAGATCATTTGAAATTTAATAACTCTCACAACTACACAAACTTAAAATATAGGCAATTTTAACTATTTAAAATTCGACCTTATTGCTTTAGATATATTTATTTCGAATGTGCACCGTTGTGTAATAACTACCAAATCATTGCAACGATATCCATACCCGCTTCATCTCTTTCTATACTTGTTTAAACTATCGTTGCAAGAACGAGAAGCGACGAATATCAAAGAGGGTCATCGTTAGTGGGCCGTTTTCCGTTTTGGGAGATCGTTCCACAGTTTTCGTTATGCGTTTCGGTTTCGTTTTCGTACGTTGGTTAGGTATATGGTTTTGATTGGATATGTGATAACGGTTTTGTACTTAGGTTTATCGATATGATATGATATTTGATAACAAAACGTTATTAGTTACGTTTTGATATATTGGTCTCATACCAATTTTATTTATAAATTTTATATTATTTAACATAGCTTTAGCTTCATTCCACATCCTATGATGTTCAGAGTTTTGTCTGGTCCAAGAAGAGGCTTTCCATATAATTTTTTCTTCTTTACTATAACTTCCATTGACAGAATCAAATACTTTGTTAAAGAAGAGGAGTTCTTCAGCAGTTTCCCCTTATTCTTTGGGAAGAATGCCTTTTTCTGAAAAACAAAAAGAATTAATACATTAGTAAACACTAGTATCATTAAAGCATAGCAAGGTTTTATGACATTTTTATTTTCGTCCAACAGTAAACTTAATAGGCCAAATGAAAGTGTACTGCTGGACTTGAAACTGTCATGCTTGGCAGGTGGGTTTACAATCGTAGTTTTAGACGTGAAAATCTTTTACGCAGCTTGTCCGTCGTCGATTTTGATACTTCACGACTGGCGTAAAGGAGATGGTAATACCGCCGACTAAACGGAAGTCATAAGTTTCTTTGATATTTCTTCTCTTATGACAGCAACGGGACAAAATGACGCGATGTGTTCTCTGTTTTATTTACACACATTTTTTTTATAGATTAAATACATAATTTATTTTAGCCATATACACACAAAAGACTTAAGCTAAACCGAATAAAAGAACAGGAATTTGATAAATAATGAAAACATTTTTATATTTAATGCTTTATAAAAGTAACTGTATGAATAGCAACCTTAATCATTTAATTACAATTTTCCGTACTAAATTTACCTAACCTGCACGTCTGAGAAATGTCTACGTACTAAAACAGATATCTCAAACAAAAGATGTGCGCTAATCTGTGTTCGCGCGGTTGTTTTTTTATCATAGAATAAACATAGGTAGAATGACCCGTAGGTAATAGTAGATTGTATTGTTAAATAGGTAAATTATATCGAGAAAAATATATGAATTTTGTCATTTATTTTGTATATTAGACCTATTTGCTTATTTAATATAATATTACATAATATCACAATTACATTTTAATGATATTTTTATCTGAAAATTTTAAAAATGTCTAAGTCAAATATAAAAAACATACTAATTGTATGTTTAACAAAACTTATTTAAAACACCATTTAAATTACAAATATATTTATTTAAATTAGAATAAAAGTCGTTCATAAATACTGGGCACGCGAGAGTTAAAAATCGACGAATTTATAGCACTTTGACTTTGATGTGGAAACCTAAAAATAAAAAAAGAATAATAAGCAGATTTAAACACGAAAAATTCTACAAAAAAATGTGTTTAATAATATATTCGTCCTATACTTAAGTACCCACAGAAATGTCGCATTTGAACATATTAATTTAATAATCTATATTCCCTGACAGGAGATGGCATCTTAGGAATAATTTGTTTTATTATTAATACATAATACTTTTTTATTGATTAAGTATCTTATTAACCGATGAAAAGTAATTCCTTGGTTTTTACTGACATTTCTTGAATTATTTGTGCAATATCTAAGTACACACGACGGCATATTTTTACTAGAGATTTTTTTTTAAATCAACGCAACACGTGCCAACTCTATAAGCGCCTAGCGAGTGACTGATTAAAATGCGGTGTATGCACCGCAGTTGAGTGGAACACAGTAGCTGATTGCAGTGTCGTCTCTAGTACGTAGTACATAACAGCTCGATGTTTACAACATATTGAAGATCTTTCGTAAGTTATTTCTAATGCACTTCAAAAGATGTGGAGGATCATATTAAGGAATAATCTCTTGATTATCAATCATTAAGACGTTTTCCTTGGGCTCTTTTCCTGCTCTTAAAAAAGGCACCTCGTGTTTCATTTAATAGCAACTTAATTGCTTGTCTATTATTAGCACCCTGGTCACAGACTGTTGCAAACACTGTGAAACTGGCTTCTTGTAATTTTTTTACGATTGTCTTTAGATGTGTTGCTATTTATTAGGAGTAGTGGAGAAAGTGTGAGAAATAGACTTTATATAATTTTTAAGAAGTCTCCGAATCATAAACACTTGTACATGATCCGCCATGTCAGACTTGGTGAACTTTCCGTCGGTTACAAATACAATAACCATGTCCAGTCTCTCACTATACTTTGAATTGGCTTTCAGGGCCATCTCAAAAAAAAGCACACAAAGTTTATCTTCATTTTTCATTTTCTTGCTTATATCTGCGAAATGAGTGAAGATTTTATCATTAATTCCAGGTTTCACATCTGCTTGGTAAATAACTTAGCAAGCGTGCGAGGTGCTGGCAATATAAAAATATTACGCAAAAATCGATAGCATTTCGGACTTTGTTTCAGTATCGATAGTGCTTGTATTTTTTCTTCAATTGAGAAGCGATGGACTTTGCCTTCCTTTTTATGTTCTCTAAACTGCATTAATAATAAAACCTTAGCAGTACTTGACAAGTTTTCCAGTTAATTTAAAAATGTAGGATTGTTGATAATATTTTTTGCTGCTTTATGACTTGCTGACTGCTTCTTAACCTTAGTACGGCATTTTGCAAGTTTATTTTTTACCTGTATCAGTTTTAAGTACAATTTATTTACAGCATGAGTAGTTGCAATGATTTTTTTTAATTTTCTGAGTGACAGCAAGTGAGGGTGCATGGCACTCTAGAACAATAAAGAGACAAAATGATGTCTTATATTTACGCGAACACATTTAATTGTGGAAGGAGGAGTTCTACAAGCAAGTAGATGGTGTGGCGATGGGCTCACCTGTATCTCCCATTGTCGCCGACATATTCATGGAAGACTTTGAGGAGAAAGCCCTGCTTACTTCTCCCATAAATCCAAGATTCTACAAGCGGTACGTAGACGACACTTTCACAATTCTACCTTTAGATAAAGTAACTGCATTTTTAGACCATCTTAACTCTATAAATTCTAAAATTCAGTTCACAATGGAGTTAGAGGCAAACAATTCCTTAGCTTTTCTAGATGTGTTAGTAATTCGGAATGCTGATAACACCTTGAGCCATACTGTGTATAGAAAAAAGACCCATACAGATAGATATTTAAACGGTGATTCTCACCACCATCCTTCACAGTTAGCTACCGTGGGTAAATCTTTGTTTCAGAGAGCTCGAGGGATCTGTGACAGTAAACACCTGGCTGCCGAGCTCCACCATGTCAAGCAAGTTTTGCATGACAACAAGCTTCGAGTCCCACGCCTACGTCACAGTGAACGAGTGAAGCCGGCCACAGTCGAGCGTGTACCTGCTGTACTGCTATATGATAGAGGAGTCACTGACATCGTCTTGAAGCGCGCTTCCATCAAAACATACTTCAAGCCGCTGAAGAAGATTGGTCAGTTTTTACCATCAGTCAAGTGTAATGTCCCTCTGCAAGATGCAGGAGTGTACAAGCTTGATTGTGAATGTGGTCTCTCCTACATAGGACAAACTAAAAGATCAATTAAAACCCGCATAAAGAACATATAGCTGATGTGAAGAATCGACGCTCCGGGAAGTCTGCAGTCTGTGAACACGTACAGGATCGCCCCCGTCACTACATTAGATTTGATAGACCGCAAATCCTCGCTAAAGAACACCGATTCCTTCCAAGGATGATTCGCGAGGCTATTGAAATCAAAAACATCCTAATTTCAATAGAGAAGATGGCTGGGTGCTACCATTTACTTGGGATCCTATAATAAATAAAATTAAATCCCAACCCAAGCACACAAGTGCAAGACTTCAAGATACCATAAGTTCATACTGCATAGATCGGAACAAAAGTTAAATTTTAATCTATGGTAACCGCGGTTAACTATGAGATATGGACGTTGAACATCTCAGCCTCGCCCGTGACTATGAGTGCTGTAAAGCGTTCGAAACGTCGGGTATTTAAAAAGTTAAATATACGCGATAAATTCCGTAAAAACTAGTATTATTTCAATGTGTAGTGTTCGCGTAAATATAAGAAACCATTATGAAAAAAATAACGTAACATAAACACTTACGTCTGTCACCCAAAATGGTAGGCAGAGACTACAGACTTCCATTTAGCACGATCCTGACATACCTCTCTCGCCTCTACCACATCCATATACCTACACATATATGCTCGTCAGTTAAGGGGCTTAATTTGGCCCATTTTTAATATATCGCCAATTTGGTCGACAAATTTTCGCCTAGGACGTCCCTTTCCAACTCTTCCATTCACTTCTGCAACATATATTTGTTTTATCAGTTTTTCCTCATTCATTTTTTCTACATGACCAAACCACCGAAGCGTTCCTTTCTAATCCTGGTCACCGCATCATTATGTAAACCACACTCTTCTTTTATCACAGAGTTTCTCAGCCTGTCACTAAGATTCAGCCCTAATATACTCCTCACCAACCGATTTCTACTCCATTTATTCTACTCTCGTGCTTCTTCTGCCACACGCAACTTTCACTACCTACGTACTTTTTTTGACACATTCTGACTTTTCGCAATAGAGTGAATAGCACCATTTACTTTATTTCCTGCATTCAGTCGTCGTTCAATAACCTTATCATATCTCCCATCCCTGCTGAATACACATCCCAAATATATAAATTCATCTACTTGCTCCGCCATCTCCCCTTCTATTTTTATTTCACATATCGTTTTACTTTCTTCTCTTTCAAAAACCATTACTTTCGTCTTACTTGCATTCACTTTCACTCCCCTTACCGTTAATGACTTGTTCATTAATGTAACCATCATTTGCAACTCGGCCGCCGACGACGCAAGCATGACTTGATCTCGGCGTACAAAAGGCATTTGACGGTTAACTCACCCATTCTTAGCCCGCATTCTTCAACTTTCAAATTTTCCAAATAACCGTCCATAAATAGGTTGAACAGCCAAGGGGAAGCAACACAGCCCTGTCTGACACCTTTATGGATGCCAGACCAGTCCGAGTAGGCCCCGTTGATCCTAACACAAGCACTCGAGTCCCCATACAGAGACTTTAATGCCTGTATCAACCCAGCGTTTAACTTAAATAAGTTCAGCGTTTGCCACAACACATTCCTGTCCACTCCTTTTCCAAGTCCATGAACGCACAAAAAACTTTTTGTTTTTTCGCCAAAAACTCCTCCGCGATCATGCGCATGAAAAAGACTTGATCGTACACCCAATTCCCTTTCTAAATCCTGCTTGCACATCCCAAATTTTTCCATCAGTTTCTTTCATAACTCTTTCAATTAGTACCTTAGCACACAGTTTTCAGCACTATGCTAAGAAGGCTGATACCGCGGTAGTTTTTACAGTCCTGCTGCGACCCTTTTCCTTTACATACTGGCACTGTCACGGTTTTGCACCAGTCTACCGGTACCCGCTTCAGCTCCCATAAATTAAACAAGGCGTACAAGGCCTGCCACCACTTCCTCTCCCGCCCTTAGCATTTCGAGTGAAACTCTACCATATCCGGCTGCTTTGCCTATTTTCATGCTTTTCATTGCTTTAATTATTTCATCTATACTTATCTTCCTATCTCTTTCATCTTCTTTCGGAATTTCTATTTCATTTAGTTCACATATCTCTTAACTCACAAACACGCTTTCAAAATATTCATTCTATCTCTTTAGTCTCAACACTTCATCATTCAGAATACAGCCATTTTCGTCTCGTATCGCATTCAATCTAGGCTGTTTTGAATGTCCTCTGGTATTTCTTACGAGTTTCCAGAACATTTTAATATTTGCCTGGAATTTATCCGATATTCTTCTATCATTCTTATCCATTCTTTCTTGCTTTTTTCCTTTCAACTAATTATTTTACTCTCTTAGCTAAGCATTTACAGTCTGCCGTCTTTCTTTCAATCTCATCATTCATATCACCAGAATTACCAGCTTTGGTTCCTAGTAAATCTAGCCATGCTCTTTTCTGTGCTTCAACTTCCATACATACCTCATCATCCCACCATAACGTATTGTCTTTCCTTTCATTCGTTCTCTTAGTAACACCACATACTTCGATAGCTGCATCCACTAAACCTTTCTTAACGTTATGCCACACATTCTCCAAGTCTAACTCATGCACACACAATTCATCCAAATCACTTATATTTTCTCTCAGTCTACGTTTGTACTTGTCTTATGTTGAATTAAGTTGTATATTTTTTAATTTATTGTCTCATTAGGGGAATGGTCTTTTACCTTTACTTAATTGCTTAATCTCTTTTCTTGCAAGAACCACTTCATTTTCCTTATGAGAATGTAACTGGATATTGGTCATAGGCTCTGAAATAACATTTTAATAATTAAAATACATAAAGATATACATATATAGCACATAAAAATTAAGCACATTAGTGTCAATCAGGCTGTTTCATTTTAAGTATATCAAAAATAGGAATATAAATAATAATATAATTTACATACTGTACAATAACAAAAACTGGTTTTGATTTGTATTTTAAAAAAGTGCCATTGTTAGTACATCATCCATTACCAATCATACTGCACTCTAAACCTTGATAAAACTAGACATTATTTTCTACTTAATAACTATAAGATTTAGTTATTAAGTAGAATAATATGAGAACTTACATTTGTACAAAGTTTGAGTACATGAAAAGGAGACGGGCGAATTTGGGCCTAACGTTACTTTGTGGCCTATATAAATAGGACACAAAGCGGTAATGTCAACGTTAGTTCAAAAACACAAACGTCAATCGAATCATTTTTTATTATAGTCAACCAAATCTAAGAAATACATTTTGACAGCTGTCAGACTTATTGCACCAAACATGCCAACCAAAAAAATGGGAACGTACAAAATTCGATTCTTAAAAAAATCGATATCGATTATTTAGAGTTTGTAATCATTTACTGTTTGATTTGAATAATAGCAGAATAAAGTAGAAACAGATTATTTATAACACAAGATTTATCAGCTTCTTCTTATTTTTATTACTGCTTATTTCTAGAAGCAAAGTTTAATAAAAATTTAACATTGAAACTAGATTAAAAATAAATTTATTCAATCATTTTCAGTACAATTAGTTGAGCTGTCGTTGTTTTAGATTAATTATTATTTGATTTTCAATAACCCAGTCAAAATTAATGTCTCTTTCAAAGTCGTCCATAATATTTTTTTGTTTTATCTACCACTTTTGCCCAATCATCATTTGTGACACGGGCACATGCTTCAACGAATGCAGAAGAAACAGTCCAAAAAGTTAAAGCCAAGTCACAAAATAAGAAGACAAACACAAAATCACAAAATTACGCACAGTAAGCTCCCGAAATGGCGGGATATTGAAATTACGTATTGGTTTTTTAGCGCGGCTTTGTATTTGAGTTATTTTGCCTATATAAATTTACGTTGACAAAGTAAAAAAATATACTTGTTTCATTCACGTTCATGTAATTTAAGGAATTTTAAAAATAAAAATTTAATTGAACAAATATGTTAAATAAATTAATGATTCGATTATTTGAATATTTTTACCGATTATTTGAATATTCTTGCCGATTATTTGGATAATAATGAATTTTAATCATCCAAACACTACGGTAAGGTACAACGTCAAGTAAAAAAAGTTGATACTGGTTATTTTCTTAATATTTTGCTTTGTTTGAAAGATTCAAATTTAAATTAGTGGTAAAAAACTATACACGTTGTACTGAAATATAAATAACTTCATAATTCTTCGGATTTACGTAAAAGGTTATTTTAAATTGTGTGAGTACGTTTGTGCAAAGTTATTGCGGAATAATTAATATGAAACGTCAAAAGGTATTTCTTAGATTTGGTTGACTACGTAGACAGAGAAACCTATAGACTAAAGATTAGCGTGGCCTCGAGTGAGAAAGGACGATAACGTTGTTTCAGGTTATACAATAATCTTTATGACTTTTAAACGTATTTAGATAAAAAATTTATTTGTACTAAGTACTGAACTAAACTGAGCTATTTAATTTTAAACACCTTTCATATACTGGATTTTCGCAAAGTAACCCCTGATTTTAATAATTATGAACTAAATTTTGTTTCAGTATGTGATTGAGTGAGAATGAGAAGTAATTGTTTATTTAATTAGTTTGCTTTTGTTTTAACAATGCGTTTAAAACTAAAGGAATTATTTACATTAAATAATTTTTAAATTAATAAATATTTACTTATATTCGGTCTCGGCCGCCACCATACCATAATAATTTTATTAAAACTACACGATTGTCCAACCTCTAACTGCTAACCAAACCTTTTAAAATATTTAGATAATTATTTATTTAATAAGTTTACCAGTATTTAAACATACATACAAAGTAGGGAAATTTTCAGGTATGTCTGATATTCCCAACAAAAAAACCGGACTTTAAGAACTCAGATCTGAAGAGCTCTTCCGTTATCAGCATAAGGCTTCAATGCTTTTTGAAGGACCAAGTTCTTTCTAAAGTAGTTGAATGCATCAATAGCTTTTTGGTTACATCTATGTTTGACTTCGTCCTTAAGAAAGAGTTGGATTGGGAAAGGGTATTATAGGAATTGGAATTTCGTATTTTTAGGATTTCATTGTCAAGAAACCCTTATCTGTCATTCTATCTCCGAATTAGTTGAAATTTTCGAATACACTTTTTCGATATAGCTCGTTGTTTGAAAACAGATAATCTCATAAAAACAATTATTTTATTCGTTATGACTACATGTAAACTTGGTGTACGATTTTATCGATTTGCTATTTTTACGATTATTTCAAGAGGATTTAATTGGAAATATCTTTAAAAAATAATAAATAAATCTACGAATCATGGTTTTTAAAAAATAAGAAATAAGTCTATGAATCATTATATAGTTAAACAGTTTCTACAATGCAGCACTTTATTGTATTGCAAAAAAATATTAATATGATTATATCAATTAAAAAAATATTGAAATAGGAAAGATTAAAATTTACTCAACTCTTAAAAATGGCTTTTTACTGAAAACGAGGCATTCCATCTTCGTCCTCAGGAGTGACAAGGCATCTGCATTTTGAGTCTAAATGAAGGATAGATATCAAGTGGATTGTGTGCTCGTTTATCAACCTTATTTTATAAAATTAAATTTAATTCTCATGGTAATACTACCAGAACGTGTGAATTCAGAGGATTTCTTTAAACTAGGACAATCTAAAAAAGAAAGAAGACTACAGATGCGTTGTTACCTTTGAGAACTAAGACCATACAATGTGTATTACGTATGTACTGGGCTATACGCTTCAGACCGGAATAAAACAGCGCAAGTATGGCTGCTGGCAGCAGAACAGGATTTTTCCTTTCCTACCTCCTAGAAGTTTGAAAATAATATAGGCTGTAAATTAACCTTTTAACTTTTTCTCGCTAACACAGGGAATCTAGATCAGGCTGATTGAATGTAGTAATTCAACTACCGTGACTCTCGGTACAAGTAAGGGTGTGGGGTAATTTTAACTTATTTACTGACTATATTCTGGTTGTATCATGAATGGGCCTTCTCGGCTGGGGAGGAACCATGCTCTTACAGAATACCAGCGTGAAATAGTAGCTTAATGTAAGGAACCGGAGACCCCTTTTATTGGAAACGAGGCATTCCATCTTAGTCCTCACGGGTGACAACGCATCTGCATTTTGTTTGGTAATTGACGATATATGTAGATTTCTATGGGCCGCAGCAAGCACTTACCATCAGGTGGACTGTGTGCTCGTTTGTCACCCTATCCTATAAAAAAATTTAAAAAAATAAATAAATGTGAACCGAAGACCCTTTTGAATGGTAACGAGGCATTCCTTCTAAGTTTTCAAAAGTGACAAAGA